CTTGCCCCTCAACATGGGCCCACTGTTGCCCCCCCCCTTGCGTAGGCAACGGCTGCTGCTGCTGCATCGTTGCCCAGAAAATTGATAATATTTATTGTTGTTGTTGTTGTTGCTCTTATTTGTAATTGTTACAAATGCTGGCAACCTGTCAGCCCACCCCTGGCCGTATGCCCGTATGCCCCCCGCCCTCATTGAATTTTATGATGGATATGATTATTTTAATTAGCATTATATTTGGCTCTCATATAATATATTTACCCTTTTCGTAGCGCTCATAATTGGCTTTTCATATGCTCGCAAAACTTGCACATTTTGTGGCTGGCCAGGGGCGAGAGGGCAAGGGGCGAAGGGGAGGCGGTTGGGTGGGTTGCTCTACCGTAAATTACTTTAATTTAATGAGTTTTTGTTATGTTTTTTACTGGGGCGTGGGGAAGGGGTATTTTATGGCACTCGCATAACGCTTATGACACATGTTACCGGAATTGATAGACAGCAGCCATCAAATCAAGTGGAAAATTTTAAACTTACAGTTACCAAGGAGGAGTGCGGCAGGGGTTGCTGCCCGGACAGGTAAAAGGCAGCGGGGTCCATTTGAACTTCTTAAAATGTGGTTGGATTGCGGCAATGGAATGAAGCTCAAAGTGGAACGGATGGAATGAAACATGAAACCAGTTGGCATTCCAAATGTGAATTAAACAGAAGTCAGGTGGAAGGAGAAATAGAAAAATGTTGATTAAAAGTGAAACGAATTGCAAAGAAAACATTATGCATTATGTCAAGTTGCTAAATAAAAAGTGGAACGTTTTGGAATTGGAATTGGATCAATTTGGCACTATATTGAATGAAAAAGTAGATTGGATATGAAACAAGATGAAACCTAAAACAAAAAGAAAGAAGAAGTTGCACAGAAATTGAAACAAAGAGAATGAATGAAAGTGGAATGAATTGAAATTGAAATGAGCTGGTAATTTTTCTAGGCGTCTATCAAAAGACCTCTATCTGGGATAAAGAACTTAAATTATAGATGTAAATTGAGATGACATTAAAAAACTCTTAAATGAATGTCTTAAGAGTGGAATGAATTGGAAATGAAACAAACTATAGTATGTGTATGCTCTACAGCCCGCAGTTAATGTTTTTTATCTTTTGTATTTATAATAATTAACACCAAAAGCTAATTTATTTATTTTAATAACAACGCAGTCTCTTCATAAATTTAATGTTACTTTATAAGTAATAAATATATGTCATCAGCAGATTTTGCCTTTTACTCTAGGACTGCAAGCAGCTTATCTTGATCGAACTTGTTGAGAATTACAAGCGACCGCGAAGCTAGCAAATCCATATTCTATGTGTCTAATCAAGGGACATGCAACTTATTATAAGAAATGCTTCAAAATGAATAACATAATACTTATATATATATCTAACCCTATATAAACTACTTTTCGACCGATCGCTCCTATGGGAGCTATATGATATAGTGGTACGATATTCTTAGGATTTCGCATACATGTAGGGAATATTGTGAAACTTGTAAATGGCGAGTTTGGTCAAGATATCTTGAAATACAAAAAAGTTTTCCATACATTGACTGACATTCAGCTCGGATAGGTTGCAACATCCTGGATGTTTGTTTCTTAGAAATCTAGACTGCGAAGTGTTCGATGTCAAGGCTGTGTTGGGGGCAAAGCAACAGGGGAAATGTGCGTTCAGTTATTTAAAAGCATTCTCAGCTTATTCATAACATGTGTTAGAGATCTACAAAGTATTTGGTTATTTCCAACATCCAACTTGACTCGAGAAATGGCAGCAAACCACAACGCTGGTGCCAACGGCAAGTCCAGACCCAGCTCGACCATGGACGAGCAGATGGGCGACACGGAAAGGGGCGGCGAGGAGGACTTCTCATTTGCCCACTTCGAGCGCCAATGGCGTCGCTACCTGGCCAACTTTGAGCGCCGGCGTTTGCAATACGCTGATTTCTATTATGGCCACAAGGAGACGCTGTGCGGCCTGGAACTGAACAGCAGCGGGCACCAGGACAGGCAGGACATGCAGGACATGCAATTCCAGGACGCCGTCGATGCGGCTGCCAATGCTCTATACGATGCCCAATACAATATGGGCGAGGAATATCGCTGCCGCAATTGCAATTGCAACTGTAAGGGACAGAATCCAAACGGTCGCCGACTGTCGTCTACCCCACGCTGAGGACACCTGCAACCGACTAGGTCATTCTCACTGACCACCACCAAACAAAACAAAAAAAAAACACAAAAAAAAAAACACACACACTCGCACACACACACACACACATGAACTTAACACTAGTCTCTGACTATAGACGAGGAGCAAAGAGCACCATCAAACACGACCATCATCACGAAACACAAAATTTTCACAAATTGTCAAAGTTGTCGAACTGCAAAAGCCTAAATATTTGACGTGGGATACCACGTCAGGTATGACCAAAACAATAAATTTGATCAACTTTCAAAAAAAAAAAAAAAAAAACCCAAACCCACCCGGCTCTGAAATACGACCAAATGTTGGCGGAACTGCTGGCGGTGCTCCCACCAGGCGCCAAGTCGCGCAGCGTTTGTCCTTGAATTTGGAGCATATGGCGTTGGGTCTTGGGAACCAACAGTCCAGACCAACGGCGCGGGCCCGTCTTATCAAGCCATCGAAACCCGTTTGCTGCCTATTCAAGTACTTTTCGAAATACATTTAACCAAATGCCAAGTATCATGCATCTTATTTTTCGGGTCAAGCAAATCTGTCGCCGATTCCGATCACGGTTCGATCGAATTGCATTACCTTGACCATAAATATGGAGCTATTCAAAAAGTCTTTTTTGAAGAGGTTCACTTCGGGTTTTGTTTGTTTTTGTGCGTTATCAGGAATGCCTAACTCTAGGTGACAACAAGGTAGTCGCTTGTCACCAGAGGTGATTCGGTTGTCTTTCAGGAACCTTCTAGATCTTTCTCATCTACTTTGGATTAGCCTCTGGGGTCTCCTCAGCTTGAACTTATAACGACTTGAGAATTAGAAGCAACGAAAGAGAAACTGGAAGCATTGAAAATGCGGTCAGATATAGTCTCGAGCGCACATGAATCCCTAGAGTATCTCAGAAAGTATCTCAACTTTCTTTCATTGGACTTTCCAGTTGCCCCCATCTCAACTGCATGTAGATTCAATATAATACTCTAACCAATATACTCCTTCTCACTGATATAGCATGACTGTATAGCATGACAATTTGTCATGTCAGATGGAGTTCCTCCATGGAGGTCTGGCCAATTGCCAGGGAACAGCTATAGCCAACTTCTGACTCGAGCTGACAGGATTTCAATATGTTCAGAAAGTAATGAGCTTCCGTAGTTATCCAGGGTGGGGGTGAGTGGATTTTATTGCTATTGCATTGGGATGCTCAAGTCCCAGGACAGAGTGGAAGGTTGTTGCACCTGAGACCCAAGGCGGTAACCCGAAACGAATAGGGTAAAATTCTCAGACTCAAGTGTGTGTGTAGCGAGTGTTTTGCTGAAAATAAAAGCACACACGAGCGTATGCCAAAAAATGGAATGGGAACGTGAACGGGAACGGGAATGGCAATGGGAATGGGAACCACAACCAACCACCGGCGGCGACGGCGCGTGGACAGCGCGCATTTTCGACATGCTCGATTGTGCCGAAAACAAGTGGCATTACAAAAACAACAACAACAACAATAATAATAACAACTAGAAGTGGAAAATATAACTACTGGCCAACAACTAGGCGGAGATATAGAAACAGGTTGCTTGTGTAATTTGATTACAATCAACTTCTAATAGAGTTCCAACCACCAGCCGTACCGGAGCAGCGGGTACCCACATGTCAGACCGTACGGAGGAATCGTCAAGGCGTATGCCACTTGTGCTGCTGCTGCTGCTGCTGTTGCTGTCCCTGCCCCTGCCCCAGATCAAATTTGAGTACAGGACTCTGCCACGTCGACAAGCGGGCGAGGAGCGTGCGGTACGGCCGGCGTAGGGCCCGCCCCGAGCTGAGGTAGCGCGGTGCAATACAATTAACGACACGAATCATGATGTGCTTACCTGGCAAACGACCGTCACGTGGCCCGTTCCCAGAAGGCTTACACGTCACAATTTTAATTTTATTAAAGAAACATTTCAAATTAACCACACACACACACATACATACACATACACATATATATACAACCCATGCGTGTGACCGCCAAAAACGGAAATTGAAGTTGTCGCCGCTGTCATTGTTGTTGCTTTACGTTGTAATCAAAATGACTGTCATAAAATGCTACACAGCTAAACGGATAATATCCCATATCCGTCATACACACATACACACACACGCACACACAGGAATACCCACCCACAAGGTGGCTAATTAGAAGGCCACAATGCAACCAACCATTTGACATTTACGTTAAATTCACAACGATTCGTTGAAACATTTCCTTTGCCATTCTTGCTGAAACGTAGAATTTGCTGACTTCTAGAAAGTATTACATAAAGTTGCGGATTTGCTGCCCTCTCGAGATAATTTATATACTTGCCCATTTCGACTAAAGTTTGCTCTGTATTCAAGCCTTATATGAATTGATATTATATTTCTAATATCCACGGAAATCATATATCATATATATATATATATGTATGTATGTTCTTGATCAGGACGAGACCGAAATGAATCATATTCAACTATTTGCCTGTATGAGCTTCGATCTCGTCGAATGACTTGGCATTTGAAAGAGTTTATCATTTGCTGTTGCCGATATCTTCTCTCAATTCCATAATATCGATAAATATCGATTTTGGCACATGGTTCCTCAAGCCGAACTCGAGAATTACAAGTATGTAGTTGAATAAGATTTCATTTTGTAGTTCGTTTGATTAAAAACTAATTTTTAAATAAATATTCGATGTATACCCTCTATATAGTTTTTTTTTAGTTTTGCTAATTTCTTCAGTGAAACTTACCTGTAATGGACGTTGCGGGGGGCCACTCATTGTATGATGATGGTACATCACATCGTGCTTGATTTGGGAGGGCATTTGGCTATGTACATGCTGGGCTTGGTGCTTCTGTATGTCGACGGCGGCGAGGGCTTCCGCTCTGCTGAGTATGCCGTCGTTGATACCCGCAAAAATATCACCCTGTATCGAACGAGAAACAAAGTGGAATTGAATGGTAATTAGGCGCATATCGGTGAGAAAATACTTGAAAATATATATGTATATATATATATATAGATTTGAACAGGAACTGGAAACATCAAAAGCATACGAAGGAAAACAAATATGACAAAGATGGAGCCCACATCAAAAAATTTGGCATAACTAGGTAATATATCTTGCAAAGATCAGATCAGATCAGTCAGCGTATATCGTATAACAAATGAAGCGAATGTTGTTAAAGTAAGTTGATAAAGGTTTTTGTTTTTTAAATAGAACAAGAAAATCAAGTCAAACTTTTTCATGTATTCGTGTCTGTGTGTGTGTGTGTGTGTGTGTGTGTGTGTGTGTGTGTTGTGGTGGACTTTGGATGAGTGTTTCACTGTGGTTTAACTTACATTCTGACGTGCTGACCACGAATTGCATAATAGGGAAGCATCTTCTAATAAACGACTCTGAAAAGACGAGACAAACAAGGATAGTATATGTATGTACGAGTTTTTACAGGGATAACAGGGATAACATCAAATTCGAATATCAATTTGATTCATATGCATGTGAGTGTGTATGGGTGAGTATATACAGTCAAATCACTTGATGTGGGGATCAAATGAAAGAACACGATATACTAGACATTCTCAATGCTTTGCAACATCAACAGGATGAAGCCAACTATCTATCTTTATAAATATTTATATTTATAAATTGAACTTTATGCATTTGCTTGTTTACCAGTTGTAGTTGACGAGGGATCATTCTATTTTAAAAAAGATAGTTAAGCAAATTATATATTCTTATTATAAAAACTAACTAGCTAACCTAAGAAAAAAAATCTTACGAATCTTCCATTCAAGTTTTATTTATTTTTACTTATTGCTTATTGCAATGTTGCCAGACTTCAATAATATGCACATGTGGCAGCACAAAATGATTCTGTCTTAAAGATTGTAAACAAATTGTAAGTTATGCTTCCTAAGGCCAAAGACAACATTTCTGCAGCTGTCGCATCATTTGCACATCTTGTGCTTAATATTGCCATAGCTTACCGTGTGGTCTAACTGCATGGTAAGTATTTGCCATGCAAATTGGAATCACAATGTTGCCAGAGATATGCTTTTTAAAGTTGAAGACAACATTTTGTTAGGCATTTGTATACCCTTTACGTAATATTATCATAGTTTACCGTGTGGTTCAACTTGGTGGTAAGTATGACATGAATTGTCGGATCGCAGTGTTGCCAGACTTCAATAATATGCACACGCAATGATTGTCTCTTCAAGATTGTAAACAAATTGTGAGATATGCTCCTTAAAGCCGAAGACAACATTTCTGAAGCTGTCGCATCATTTTCACATCTTGTGCTTGAGTATTGATTTGTCAGTGACCGCCGGACCCACACCCACTACGGTTGCAAATAAATAATTTACAAAAATATCTTGGCGCTTGTTTGATTGCCGGCAATGCTCCGATGTCGCCGCTGTGGTCCTTATGCCGTCAGTCATATCGATTTTATATGCTGGCAAGAGAATGCCAACGTGCATGTGTGTGTGTGTGTAACGCGCACGAATTTTACAGTTAATCAATTATTTAGATGCGCACAAAACTTGAAAATGCGACGGCGATGGCAGCAGGGAGCAGGACAGACAGGACGAGCAGGACACGCAGGACACGCAGGCACATGCCAGTCGCTCATTTGGTGGGCGAAAGTTGCCGCAGCGAAAGGAGTAATATCAACAAAACGGCAATTACAACGGCTAGCAAGGACATTCGGCTAGGACTCGGCGCGTCTCGACAACGGCTTCGGTTCAACCGCAGGACGACCGCAATAGCCGTGCGGCGGCCATTCAAGAAATCAAAATGTTGCGCATTTTTAATGCACCTTGCGCCACGTTATCCTCCGACAAGTGCAGCGTATCCTTAGCCATTGCCCAGTGTGCCCTCAAAGTTGGGCGTGGCAACTGTTTGTTTGCCCCGCTTTCCCCATTTGGACAAAAAGCACAGGCCGGCTAATGGCCATAATATTTCCCTGCCAGATGTTGGCAGCGATCCAAACACACAGCCCCAGCACAGGACACGACCACAATAAATACCGATTGCCGCACAGAAAGGACTACGCTCAAGTGTTGTCTCATCCCCCTCTCCCCTCCCCATCATCCAATATGCTCGGCATATGAGTACAAATAGTTAGTTCTGTATGACAAGCCGGCAAAGCGAGCGCCTGCCGGGATGGCTCAATCTCACGGCTCCATTTGCAGGATTCATTTAAACGTCAATCGGCGTCCCGCTAGAAAATTGGAATAACCACCTCGTAGCTGGCAATTAAACATACTGGGCCCATATCAAACTTCGTCCCATTTAAGGGTCTTAGCCCTTAACCCATCACGAAAGCAGCCAAAAAACCAAGCCAGATTATAAGCTCCTGGTCAGGCCTCTTGCCAAGCAATCAATCCCTGCCGTGGGCTCTATAAGTGTGTCATGAGATGTGCAAAGCAGAGAATAAGAGATTTTCATCCTATTTAGCATAGATCGATCGCTCGATCTGATCCCTCGTTTTCCTGTTCCGTTCGAGTTTCTGTCTTCAACATATCTGCAAGGCCGTAAGCCATGTGTCTAAAAGAGGAATGTTTGCTGTTGAGCTATGGATTCGGTTTTAGGTTTAGTTAGATATAGTTCACGACTGCAGCCAGAAGGCATTGAAGAAGTGATTCGAATTCTTATAGTTATACAAATAAAGTTGATAAAGTGAAATGCGTTCCCTGTAGTTTCCCCTGCAACAACTAAATTCCAGAGCTAGTCAAAGGTTAAGCCATCAGATATATTTAAAAGCATTAAATCATGCACAATAATTGCTATAAATCAGGCAAATATAAGCTGACAGGCATTTAAAGCGCACCTAGCCTAAGCTAATTGAAACAACTTAAATGGAATCTATTTAAAATGTACGTATCAGTAATAAAAAAACAAGTGCCCTCGTCTCGGGCCCGCCACAAAAGTGGCAAATGATTAATTTGTGGCCTCGCCCTGAAAAGTAGGCAACAGTTTCGTATTTTTTTTTTTTTTTTTGGGTACGCACGGAAATAGCAAAACTGAACCTTTAACTAAAACGCTGGCCAATGCAGGCATGAAAACAAATTAATTTATGAATTAATATGCGCAGTCATTCATCAAATTATCGTCCAGACCGACACCGAGCCACCGCGCCGCCGACTGGCCCAGAAACGTGGCTTGGCCCAAATGCGAGCTTGTTATTTCCTGTGTGTTTCTTGACCTCACTCGAGTGTGGCCGGCTGAAGGGCGAGAGGGGAAGGCGGCTGGCTGGCGGTTGGTGCTTTAAGGCCGCAGTGCAGGTTGACACTTGCACATAAATTCTTTATTAGTGTTATAAATTAATCAAGCCAACTGCTGCCTGCTCGCTGCGTCCCTTTTTGGATGCTCTGTTTCTTTCGCACTTAGTTTGTTTGTATTGTTTTTTTTTTTTATTTTTATTTTTTTCCTTGTCTTGTTATGTGTTATTTTCATTCTCGCTCTGCACGTGTGTGTGTGGGTTACTTTTTTTTTCTGCTTGTCAGCCATTTAATATTTATGATGTGTGTAAACAGATACGCAATGAATGTTGAATGAATGTTGAATTTTATCGATTGCGTCGCTCGACTGCAGCCAAAAACTAATGCAAAAAACAAGTAAGAGAGTGCTCTAAGCGGCACTAAACGACTATCAGATACCCTCAACCCAGCGCCTAGCACTTGCTTCCTTATCATAGCAGATATATTCCTGAAAAGCATCAGTATTTAAAGATCGATATTTATTTATATTATTTATTTTTATGAATACCAAAGCGCTGGGCTCTATCTTTGATTTGGAGGTCGTTGAGGTAAGGTATCCAAAACTGTATATACCACACGAGAGCCTGAACACCAAGTTTGCTGTATATAGCTCTGATAATCTTTAAGTAATACAGAATATACATATATATAGATAATTTTTTGTTAAATTTCAAGTCTAAAGTTCTTGTAGTTTGATGGACGAGTTCACACACAGACAGGGCTTAATTCAGCTCAACATTGTGAACCACAATTTATGCAGCTGACGGGTGACTTAAGTTGGCAACACCGCAACAAACGACAAGTTGGCAACACAGTTGAAGTAATTTTGTTGCGCCAGGTGGCAACGCTATTATTGTATTTGTTCAAAGCACATAACTGCCTGATAAGCTGCCTGGTAAGTTATGCAAGACAGTTTTAATAGAAAATAATGTTAAATTTGAGGAAAGAAGAAATCCATGAAACTTCAATTTAAGTTAAGAGAAAATAAAGAGGAAAACGAACGTTATATTCAAGCTGAATTTTCTTTTAAAGTATTATGTTGCATAATCAACTATGATTGCTTGGTCTTGGCATCGTTTGAGGAGTAGCTGGGCGACTTTTTTGGAAGTTCTATCTATCTTCATTTGACAGAATTTTAACGGCAATGTATTGGACATTGCTTCTGGTCACACGAAACATTTTGGCAAGCTGCAAAGTATTTTTGTTACCTTATAATTATTGCCAAAGGCTTAAAGAGTCTACATAAGTGCGTAATTCCTTCTTTTACATATTTTTGAAGGTTGAAAATTTGGATGGCTCGAGGTTAACTTTCAACTATAGAATTGTTGCTAAAAGCCAACTTTATATGTTTGCACTCTAATGCGCTCTAATGCACTCTAATGCGCTCTAATGCACTCTAATGCGCTCTAATGCCCTCTAATGCACAATGCAATTAATAATAACTGAGAAAAAAATGATTTAATATTACAATAATGTGTATTGTTCTATGCACAGGCAAAAAGTTTACTAACCTCGGCAGCCCGATTTTGAGAAATGATTTTTTAGCCATAGCTCGAAATATTTAAGAGCCCCATTCCACCCAAAAGTTGAAAGGAATAAATAGTTTTTAAGGGTAGAGCCTTGAGTTTCGGTCGGACTACAAATATCGAAGTAAATCTAGCCTGCATTTCGCACAGTGTATGGTAAAGGCAAGAAGAAGCAGCAGACCAGGAAGCTAGCATGATTGTAAAGACAGCTTGGGTTCAGGGTCTTTCCTAGCCTTACTTGAATTTATTAATGGGCTGTTTCAGGGTCTATTCTTGTTACTTGCTTTTATTTGTGGGTTGCCAGCCTGAGCTGCACTCTTTTTACAGGGTATTGGCAGCTGGTTGACCAACTGGACTTTCGATCAGATTTTGATTGGTTTGTGGCCCGTTTAATTGGCACATTTGTTGCGGCCATTTAATGCAGTTTATGAATATTTAAATCAAATTAACGGCACTGCCGGCCATTCATTTAGCGCACCATGCAAACAAATGCCAAGGGGAATGGCGGGAGGGGGGGGGGAAGATTGGGTTCGAGTTCGCAACGTCGCAACGTTTGTCCATTTGTCAGTTTTGGGCCGGCGACAAATTTCCATTAAATGGACTGCGAGGCGTTAAGTGTTTGCTGTAACCAGCCAAAGCGCCTGCTCCCCTCTCTCTCTCTCCCTGTCAGTGCTTACTGCCCTGCTGGTATTAACCACCCGCCCCGCACAACCCCCCTTCCCCCCTCGCCCGGGACGGTTCACCCTGCTAATGCGCTGAGCCCAGCCAAGGGTAGCGCATAAATCCTATAAATCCGGCGCTTTGATCATTCGCCTTTTGCCATACGCTTTTTGCTGCTGCTGCGTCTCAAAGCCGAAAAGTGGCTCAAGCCCTGGGGTCGGGGGCAACGCAGGGCTGGTGGTGTGGTATGATGAGGGGGGGGAGGGGAAAGGTAGGTTTTGTTAAATCCGATAAGCAAATGTAGTTGTCGTCCCTTTAAGAAAGCGACGCGTTCGTTGTTTTTATTTACAGTAAGTGTTTTTAAAGTGCCCCGTGCCAGATTAGGATGAGCCGTAGTGAGAAGGGGTGGCGGGGGGGGGGGGGGGGGGGGGGTGGGAGGTGGGATGGTTGGGCTGTAAGCTGTGCAGCACAGCAGGTGGAATGTGCTCCGCGGGCCGCGGTCTTTCACCTGTGCGATGCGTGCAATCAACTTCTGCCGCCATTCAATAGATAGGGTATAATATATATTTGCCTTAGAATGTGTTGTAGAAGGAGACGGTGCATAAATATTATATATACTCTTGATCCGCAGCCATATAGCTGGCATAACGTCGTTTGAATGTTAAGTTCTTGTGTGAGAAATGTTCTCATTCTAAGAAATCTGAATCAAACATCCTTCGACTCACATGTAAGCAATATCCTGTCAACCACGGAGTACTATATCATAAGAAAGGAACCCTCCTTTTCAATTATATCATCATGATCTTGATTTTCCTAGCATATCTATCTGGCCGCATGCTATATGTGTGTAAGGGTATCTGATGGTCGGCTATTTGTTTAGTTGTTCTTGTTTTTCTGTTGGACTCGCAATTTGTCAAGCTCCTGTCTGCATTTTGGCCGCTTTCTTCATTCATTTATGCATTAGCCTTTGTTCTCCCTCTCTCTGCCTCGCCCCCCCCCCCTGCCGCCTCTCTTTCTCAGCCTCTCTTCAACTGTCTCAGCTATTTTTAATGGCGCCCTCTTGTATTTTATTTGTCGCCCAACAATGGTTAATAAATATTTAATGTAAATAAATTACAAAACGCTTTTCAAGGTTACGCCCATCCTGGGCACTCGGCGCCATTAGAGTCGCCAACAACTACAACAACAATCTAGAAAAAACAAAAAAAAAAAACGAAAATAAAACCCCATAAATCTATCTATCATAGCCCCAAGTGCTGCCACAGCTAGACCCGCCCCCTCTAGCGCAGCGAGTGACATTTATGCAATAATTAAGACAAATATTTGCTGACTCTTTATTTTTAGTCGCACTCCAACTGGAACACACTCACACACAAGTGCATTGAAAGCGCGACAAGCAGTTAGCGTGTCTTATTTTATACCCTGTAACCAATGCGTGAGCCAAGAGGGGTCAGTCCTGTCCCTCGGTTCGACAGGCAGACAAAAGTTGACTGCCATAAATACACAATTGCATTTACATTTATCTATATATAAAAAGCTGTTAAAACTGGCTGACAAGCTGATTGATTGATTGATTGATTGACTAACTGACTGATTGTTGATCAAGGCACAGCCCAAGCCGAATGAGCAAGAAAACTGAAGTTTTAGTTATAGACGGGGCTTTGGCTAATTCCACTAGCAAGCGTGGAAAGTTCGCGGAAAACGGTTTAGCGAAAGATGTTTCTTTTCGATCGATTTCAAACTCATTTTCAAAGATCTTTCGCAAATCGTGAGGTGCTTCGCACAATACATCTCTTCCTGTAGATAAATTGTACATTTTGGTTAAACGGGCGCAAAATGAGCGTAAATCTATGTTTGCAATGTATAGTCCTTGATTCAATTAATTGTCGTAAATTTTCATAAATCTATGTGAGTTATATTAAGTTTCTCACATGCAAAAGTCTAAATTTGAAAGAAGAAAACTTTTGCTAGGGTAATAGCCGGAAAAACATAAAATATATAATCTAAGCCCTTTGTAAAATATTTATATACCTTTATATACGTATGTATATGTCAATCTAAAATCCTTTGACTATAATCCTCTCTTTATAACATGTAAATATATATATATATATACCTTTCTTCTCAAAGCCTCGAGATAAGAACAAAACTGGGATAAGAACAAAAACACACAAATTTATATCATAAATACAAATTCGTGTGTTGTATAATCTCTCAATCGTCTAAATATTGAATCGAATCGCGAATTTTAGAATTCCAATAAAGTTTCTTTGACACATTTTGATGTAACTGACATCTAAGAGAAAACATAAATATATATTCTGAACTGGCAAACACTTGTGCTTGCCTTTGCCCTTGCCTATCGATTAATGTACGTTTTTATCGATTAATGTTATCGATACCGTAATGGATATCGTTAATTCAATTCAATTGAATTTTATAACATATTTGTATTAACAAACGTTCTTCTTGAGCTGCTTACATGGTACCTCGGAGTCAAGCAGACGCACATTTCTCGCACTTTTACTTATTATTATGCATTTTTTATAGTTGTTGTTTTCTTCATGCATTTGCTTTACCGTTTCCGCTCTTCATGTGTGTGTGTGTGTGTGTGTGTGTGTCTGTGTGTGTGCAGCGTATTTATAAATAACCATGTCTGAGCCCAGCCCCCAGTTATAGCCGTAATTTCTGTTTGTCTGTGTGCAGAATTCATAAATACATGCAGATACATAGGTGATAAATTCCTGGAGAGGCAAGAGTTCAAAGCCCCGATTGCGAATATGACTGAGCTCAGAGCAGAAGAAATATTTCTTATGTCTCAAGATTCTACGAACATATTTATGGGAATGGTAAGTCAATTGATTGCTAGGAAATATCTTGCTGATTTATTAAATGGGGGAAAATATGAAACGAATCGGAGAATCTTGGCCAAGTTTTAATTTGTTTCAGTATTATATCTATAAAATTCTGCTAGTTTACTTTATGCACATTACAACAGAGTTTGTGCTGCGCCGAAATGTATGCTACATAATTTTTTTTTAAAATAGTTTCTGCTGAAGTTGCTCCAGACTGTAGATTATATTTATTTTCGCATTACACATTTATTATAGAAAAGTAAAACGTTTTAGCTCTGATCAAATGAAAGGAATTTGTCGATATGTTGTCTATAAGGGCTTTTCTAGTTTCTGCTTTGGTTAAAACTACAAATTCCAGTTGGAAATCAAAAGCTTAGTCTGGTTTCTGATTGTAAGCTATATGAAGGAATGGGCATCAAAGCTGATGTTATGAAAACAATAGTATGCTATATAAAATGATATGGTATTGATTCGATAACGAGAAGCATGCCGATTTCTATAGCATACTTTTTAGCATACAACTGAAAAAGGCGTTACATAAGCTTTAGCTTTATTTCTTGATATATATCAAATATTATATAATTAAGTTGACAAACTATTTAATTAAAACATATACTAATATGTCTGATAAAACAATAGTATTTATGATAATACTTGAGCATAGTCATATCTAAATTACAAAATAGTCGCAAATTATTCAGGCTTAAGGCTTGCTTTTAAAGAAAAGAAAATCACTTTTGCAACTGTGAAAATGTGCACTAAAAGAAATTTTTCACATTTTAAATAAGAAGCGAGTTCTTGTTATGTTGAGTATAATCAATTATGGCATAGTATACTCAATCCATAAGTATTCGGCGAGTCGTGGCCGTGAAGATTTGAAAAATAGTGCGCCGACGGCAAAACAGAATCAGGAAACAGGTTACAGGCTAGATGCTTCATCAATGGGGCTGTATTTTTTTGCATGGAATGTGTCTGTAGATGTTTCATATAGCACTGTGTGAATAATGTGATAACAGATCCATGGTAAACCCTATAGACCCAAAACTTAGCCTAACAGTCAAATTTTCGGCACAAATCAGAGAAGCCTCATTGGGTTGGCGAATTGATTTCGGCATTTGGGTAAATTTTGGTAATTTCTTAGAGTACTTTCGTATTGTTAGGGATATTACTTACAGATGGATTTGGCATACAGCGTCGCATTTGCTCCGAACTTCGATAGGATGGACTGTAGCGTCCTGGAAAACAACTGGGCGCTGACATTTTCATTTTATCCGTCGTCGAATACATCGACATTGTCATGCAGCCGCCGACGAAATCCTCCTCCAGCTTGAACGCCCTTGAGGCGTCAAATGTCGTTGGCGAGTAAATTTTGAAGCACTTACTTTGACAACTTTGAACGAGTGTCCTGCAATGCAGGACGCCAAATATATCTATATATATATATATTTTTGGGTTGACCAAAAAAGTTGACTTTTTGGCAAATTAACTATATCTCTCCAACTATCTAACTTGCTAGAGAGATATATACGCTTTCATATATGCTTTAACTTTAACAATTTTTCAAACACTGTTTTCGTTTTTCACTGATTTATCGGGAAGTTTTGTCTGCGCCGCGCAACAAAACTGTTAAAAAATAGCACAAGAAAAAAAATAGTTAGGTTAGGAATTTGCCGTCGCCAAAATGCAGTTGCTTGTTGTTGAGCATGTGTTTGTGTATGTGCGTGTGTGTGTGTGTGTGTGGTAGGGTGTATGTGCATGTGTGTGTGTGTGTGTGTGTGTGTGTGTGTGTGTGTTGCGAATCAGGACACAAACAACAACAACAACAACAGAACGAAATGCGCGCTTATCAATTATGAAATTGCCTGCTCACTGACTGTAATTGAACGTTATTAGATGACCGATAACCGATGACCGATGGCTGGCAACGTTGACCAGCAGCGATGCCAGATGCACGAAAAAGACAACGAGTACGACAAAAGACAACGACGCGACACGACGCAACGTTTGGGTCTGAGTTAAGCGCTGGCCACGCAAGCACTGTTTACCGTTAGACGTAAGCGAAGCCAAAGCGAAGCGTAGCCGTCGCCAAGCTTAACCGAGCCGAGCCACGCGTCGCGCGCTCTGAAGCTTTCGCGCCTGAGCCTAAGCCTAAGCCTGAGCCTGAGCCTGAGTCGGAGCTGTAGCCGTTGCCAAGCCGCGCTTAAAGCTCAACAAGAATTTGTTGTTCTTTTTTTTGTTTTGAATATGTTTTTTTTTTCTTCTACTATTCGCGCGTTGAGTTGCGCTTATGTGTGTGTGCGTGCGTGTATTGTTTGTGTTTGCCCGGCCGTCGCTCGCACAGCTGTTCTCTTCGCTGGCTCTGTGTGCATCTGCCTGTGGCTGTGGCTGTGTCTGTCTGTTTGTGTGTGGGCGTGTATGTGTGTCGCTCGGTCGGTCGGTCGGTCGGCTCGCGGCGCTCAACTATTGTCGAAATTGAAAACGAAACGCAAGCGAACAGATTTCACAACTAGACAAGCGCGCGTTGTGTTGTGATAAAGAATTCTATGATGAGTTTCGCTAACTTCAGAGTTTATTTTCAATGGGTAGGACATGTTTTCATTATTTAACAGCTGTGGGCGTGGCCGTGACGGCCACCCCTGCAAAATGGCAGCACTGCGCCTTATGTAATACAAGCAGCTCAACGCTGATTGGTCGCTGCAGCGCTGCCAGCGTCAACGCCGACGGCTTCGTTCAGCTGGAATTGGGCAGCATTGCGCTGTGCCTGTATCTGGGCAGCAGACGATAAACTTGACGAAGCCAATGTGACGACGGTGGCGGCTATTCCCAGCGACTGCGCACTGGATCCCACCATCCAGTCGTGGCCGGGACCCTTCTAGCAGCAGCAGCAGCAGCACCAGCAGCAGCAGCAGCGCCCTCTACTTACCCCCTTATCCGCTCCGCTCTCGGGACTCTCTGGGCCGCTGTCTCTTTCGCTCACTTTGTCTCACTTGCTCTGCCTCTCGCTTTGGCTGAGCATCGCAATGCCTGTCTGCATCCGGCATATGGCACAATTTTTTGGCAGGCAACGCGACAGGAGCGTTAACAAAAGGCACAAAACACGGCCAACACGGCTCGACAATGCCGCCGCAAAACGGGCATGGTCATTGGGGGTGGTTGGTGGGGAGGGGTGGCGTATAGGCTTGTGGGCTGGGTCCGGTGTGGTTACGCCTAGCGCCCAGTTATTCATTGTATTGCCAGTGCGACTGTTAAATGCATGCACACATACAGGGTGCCCTTAGCAGCAAAGAAATGGGTGTCGCAGCACTATGGTAAGCTCGGACGATATTTATGGAAAAAATCCATTTTTAAAACCTTTGACTAAAATATCCACAAGAAATACGTAATAGGTAAATATTACATACCCGAAATGTTTACATAACCAAATCCTGTTGAGATAACAGCTGTTAAGCACTGCTGTACAGCCAAATAATTCACGTGCTTGACTTTCGTGATATTGTTTGAGTATTTATGAGTCATTTATAAATTTAAACCATTTTTCTGCAAAAAAAGAAACCCATTTTTAAAAATTGCCTAAGATACAAAACTTTTGTCTAAGAAATTGCTAAAACTAATATGTTATATATCGGAAATATTAACATAACCAAATTGTGTTAAGATAACTTTGCACTAAAATATTTACAAGAAATACGTAAAACCAAAAAAGTTACTTACCGCAAATGTTTACATAACCAAATCATGTTAAGACAAAAGCTGTTAATCACTGCTGTTTAGACAAAAATGCATGTGCTCGAATTACGTGATTTTTTTGAGGCATTTTCAAGTGTTTTGTATTTAAAATTGTTATATTAACAATTTATAAGTTTAAGATTTTCCTATGGATTCGGTTCTCTGTGGATTTTGCGAAATTAATTTATCAATTCTGTTATCAATTCAACTTTACTTTTGGCATACACATGAGCAGCTACCCAAATGATCTGAATGGCTGAAAAATATCTTGCTAGCGAAGGGAATGCGTTAGGATTCCTTTACAATGACAACAATCTTTTTACTTTAGTTTACACACCATCTTGAGGATATTAACTGACATTAATCGATACATGTTTAATTGAAATAGATGTTACATAGGCATATAAGATATAGATATTCGTCATATTCAAATTTATCTAATTAAGTAGCTTTGTTTAAGCAATCATTAAGTGTGTTCTTTATTCTTAAATCTAAAGGCATCTAGTTTTGAGATTGGTGGCGCCATCTATGTGTGCTGGCTAAACATATGTGTTAATGCTTAAAAGCTTGCAGGAGCTCAAGCTTGGTGGCCCTAAGTCTTAACAGAAAAACTTACCTAGGCTTCAAGCTTTGACGGTAAAAGCTTTTAAGCATGTTAATGCACACGATTGAATGAAAGCTCGCAACAGCTACAAGCACTGATAATGTTCGCTTTTAAAGCTTTGATAAGTAGAGCTTCAGTCCTCCAATGCCCAATTTTTAGGATATTATAAGTATCATTGGCATCCAAATCAGGAAGCTTTGACTTTTGTTGCCCTGAAAGCTCGCAGCTAAGCTTTAATGCGTTAAGCTAAATTGAAGATTGAATAAGATTTACCTCATGTGATGAAGGTGCAAGCGGGGTTTCGGGAAACTCCACGCGTATGTGTAGAACAATTTCGAGAAACGTTTGTATGCAACTTTTTTGTTTAGCATCCGATCGGCCTCAAACTCATTTTCAAAGGTCTTTGGTCCAATTCATTTAAGGGGTGTTCCACACCTTTCGAAAGATGCATTCCTTCTTGGGGTAATTCGGGATTGAACATTTGGTGCGTGACGCTTCGCACGCAAATTCATTTCCAAGGATCTGTATGAAAAATTATTTGAGACGTGTTTCAAATTTTTTACAAAATCAAACTTATTTGCAAAGCTAAATGAATACGATGGATAAGAACTAAATGAATGAAAAATTGGTGGAAAATGGTTTAGTTAGAATTTAGTTACACGTGGCACTGGCAAAGCCTGGCAACATTTTTATTCGTCAAAGTTCATGTGAAAATGGTACATACCTACATACACACATACATATGTACATACACACACACACACACACAACACACATACATACAGACATACAGAATACAGACAGACATACATACATACATACATACAGACAGACATACATACATACATACATACATACATACATACATACATACATACATACATACATACATACATACATACATACATACATACATACATACATACATACATACATACATACATACATACATACATACATACATACATACATACATACATACATACATACATACATACATACATACATACATACATACATACATACATACATACATACATACATACATACATACATACATACATACATACATACATACATACATACATACATACATACATACATACATACATACATACATACATACATACATACATACATACATACATACATACATACATACATACATACATACATACATACATACATACATACATACATACATACATACATACATACATACATACATACATACATACATACATACATACATACATACATACATACATACATACATACATACATACATACATACATACATACATACATACATACATACCTACATACCTACAACTCCTGCTCCGCCCCTTGGTGCTCCTCCGGCATGCTCCGCCGGCTCCTCAGCTTCCAGCGTTGAAGCCGCCTGCGACTAATTCATAGGTGAAGCCTGCAGGCCTTACTTACATTTTTGAGAATCGAGGAGGAGAGCAGCTTTAATAAATACGTTTTCTTATTTAAATTTGCCGCGCAACAAGGCAAATTGGTCTGCTATTGGTATAGAAGACTATTTACATGCAACATACATACATACATACATACATACGCACATACATACGCACACACATTCACACACACACATTGACACAACATACATACATTCATACTTATATTTTTTACATCATTTGGCATCTAAAGCTGGCAATATTTAAATAAAGTCATAATTTTTTTTCTTTTTGAATGAAAATCCCGACTCAAACAACAACATTTTGTGGGGTTTTTTTTGTTCAGTTTTGTGTTTGTTTGTTTTTTGTTTTTGTACAATTATCTAGTTTGTTCATCATTATTTGTAATATCAATAAATTATTGTAGAATTGTGTATAAAACTTTTTACAAGGATAGTCTAACATTGGAGTACAATATAAACAGAGTAATATCAATGGAATACACGGCTATTTATATACATATATAAGTATGTGCACACACATATACATACATATGTATATATATATGTACATATATATAAATATATTTAATGTATGAGCGATGAAGCACAACATGGCGTATAATGAATTTCATAAATTCGTTCAGGAATCATAATACCTCGATTATTTCTTTTTGCTTTGTTACCATCCTATCCTAAACACACACACAAAGAAAAAAGAATAAGAAAAACTAAATAAATAAATAAAAGAGAATAGAACTTAAGATCTAGATATTATTAATATATATACTAAATAGTTGAACTAAGCAGCAAACGATACGAAACGATGCGCATGGCAGGGAACTTTAGGGCAGGGTTCGTTATAAATATTATTATTGTGTTCTTACTGCTACTTCTGTTCTTCTTCTTATTCATATACAAATAATACCTTCGCTTGCTTCTTCTCGTATCGTATTTGACTTTCTCATTTTCTTTCGCCGATTGGCATCGTTGCTTAAATGTGCTTCTAAACAGTTTTCGATTGAGATCTATGGTCCTATTGAAAGTCCTTTGCCGTGTGGACTCGAACTGAAAGGCATTTTTGTGGGTCGGCAGGAGATTGGATGTCAGCTGCACGGTGCCGGGTGGCGGGTAGCGGGTGCCGAGTGCCGAATTCGGGTTGCGGGGTGCACGGTGCCGGGGAGCAGGATGGTGCCGAACTGTTGTCCTCAGGTGGTGAATTGCTTTGCTTTGCTTTGCTCGTTGCTCAATTTGTCGTCTAGCCTAGATCCGTAAACCTTAAACCTTATAGCTTATACTTATATTCACTTTGTCGCTCCATTCCTAATCGTGTCTGCCCAGCAAACCGTAGACGAGCCGCCTGCGCGCCAGCAGCTCGGCCCGCATTGCATCCGTATACGGATCGAAGGATAGCAGCCGCTTCTTGCGCCGGAATATGCCCTCCTTGCGCATGAGGGCGCAGCGCATCAGCTGCTCGTTAACCGGATACTCGAGAAACTCGAGTATGTTGCGCAATTCGCGCTCCGTATTGTGCACCAGATCATCGTAGAACACAACCTTAATACTGCCCGTAAAATTGCGCGCCCAGCTGAGATTCATGAGCTCCCAGCCCTTCAGCTTATTGCTGACAAACTGTTGCCAATCTGTTCGGGAGAGAGAATTTCCATTAGCTAAAAATGAAGCAATTCAATACATGCACACACACACACACACACACACACACACACACACACACACACACACACACACACACACACACACACACACACACACACACACACATTTAGGCTAGCAGCTGTGCTGCACTTTCTCTACTAATTCTTTAATAACTTCGAAGTTTATTAACCGATCTGTGCCCTTAAAAATGTTATGTTATCTAGAGGTATACAAAAAGTGAAGCATGTCGGTTCTACGTATGATAAACGAGAGTCTACATACCGAATTTGGCGTATCTAACGCTTAAAGTTCTCGAGTTATGCGTGAAAAGCTATATCTCAAAATCGATATTTATCGATATCATGAAAAAACGAAAATATCGCGAGAAGAAGAGAGAATATATATAATCATTCGCCCAGGTGGACGGACACGCGGATGTGTCTACATGTCGACTCTGTTCGCCCGGAAAAACACACACACACACACACACACACACACACACACACACACACACACACGCGCACACACACAAGACTATTATTCGCAACTCGTGCTCAACTCACATTTGCCCTTTGTGCGCTTGTAGCGATCGGGTGAGGCGAAGCCAATGTGACCGCCGCTCTGGCGATTGAACTCGGCAATGATGGCCTTCTCGGGATCGCGGACCAGGAGTATGGCTTTGGAGAAGGGGGCCCACGCCTTGGCGCCCCATTCGTGCGTCTTGACCAATAATACTGAGCTGTTGCACACATTTTCCGCCGGAAAGCCCGTCTTCAGCAGGCCGTAGTCCTTGTAAATGCTGCCCGTCAATATGCCCGTCGCCTGCTGCAGTAGATACCGCAGCCACGTGTTGCCGCTGCCCGGAAAGCTGGCCAGCGCGGTCAGCATGGGCGACGGCGCGATACCCTGCAGCTGCAGGCTGGCGCTCGCATCGCTGGGCAAAGCAGCTGCAAATATTTGAATTATTGTTAGTTTATGAAATTCCTTTATATAGTCTCTATTAATCAGATAAAGAGCTGCGTCTGAGTTAAGCATTATTTCGGAGAGCTCGCAACTGCTGCGCTTGTTCAGGATCTATCGAGAAACGGCAAAAGTTTTTATACAACTCACACTTTTTTTAAAATGTCAAATTTTTTGTAAATGTGATGAATGTGTTTTCGTATGGGAAAATGTACAGACTACATTTTTCACATTAGAATAAACATGTGACACTCGCAAAAATACATATACAAGAAATGTTGACAGTGGAATTGGGCTATAAAACAATAAAGTTTAATTTGCGATCAATTATTGCTATGGCAACTATATAATATAGTTCGACCAGCTGATTCCAATGCTGCCTGCAACAAAAAGACAGATCTGAGCAATGATACACTGAGAGAATAGTTTACATAGAAAAAGTGAGGCGGACAGACGGACTTTGCCCATATCGACTAAGCTGAAGGTACGATCTAAAATGTATACATATAATAAACAAGCTCGAAGAGCCTGTAACTTTTTGTAATCGAGAGTTTCGAGAGAAATCTCTAGATGAACCAACAGTAGAAGGTTCTTGCACGTTCTCGATCTGATCGGGTTTAAGGCATATGTATATGTAGGATCCTAAGCAAAGATTTGACTCGATTTTTCGACAATTTCAAAATATATATGCCTCTTAATATATCGTAACCAAAGGAAAAACTACAAAACTTGTTTGTAGTTCGCTGTTTTATCACATATCGTTTTATTTTGCCATCGCTTGTAGGCAATACTTACTGTAGTAGGCGCCTGCCTTGTAGTCTGTGTAGTTTGGAAGCTCGCGATTCAGATATCTGAGGTCGCGACACCAGCGAATGGTCATTTTGCGACTGGGCATGGGAAACCGGGGACTATGAAAGCTGGAAAACTGTCAAAATGAAAAACAATTACAATTACAATTCGAATTATATCACACAATATGCAATATGTCGGATTACCTCGGCGAATCGCTCGATGCGCGTGCGTTTTGGATGCGTGCCGGGTATATTGTTCATGGATAGAAACAGGACGCCGCCTATATAGATGATGATTGTTGCCGAGACACCGAAAAAGCGCCAGCCTTGCAGTGCCATTACGCCGCCTTTGCATTACTGAAACAGAATATGAACACGAATATATATATATATTTATATATATTTAGAGAGAGTGAGAGTGAGAGTGAGAGTGAGAGAGAGAGAGAGTGGGCTATATATGGATATGGATATATATGTTATTTATCTAGGCTGACAGCCGCTTACTTCTAATGGATTTGCGCGCATTTGATGAGACCAATTAAAGCGCTTAATTTCCCGTAATGCTACCAGCTGAAAACAAAAACCTCACCAAACTGAACTCAAAGTGAACCGAAAGCCGTGAGGCTCAAATTTTATTTTTCCCTTCTGTCTTGTTTTTTTTTTTTTTTTTTGATTTTGCTATGGAGACGCTACAAAAAAAAAATGCGCAAGGACTCAACGACGCCATAGCCTCAATCCCCAATCCTCAATCCTCAATAGCCAAGCCTCAAGCCTCGGGCCTCGAGCCTCAAGCGCGCAGCCTAGTCGCTACTCAATGCCATATAACGCGCGATGGTAGCCCCGACAACGACAGCAACCCGCCTGCCCCACTGCAAAAGGGGGCCGCACTTCTGCCGCAGCTAAAAAGCACAATCTTTTGGCGGTGGCGTATTGACTAACAGCTACCCTGTACTCTATTATCAGGTCATGTTCTCGATATTTCCTTACTAACTTTTGCGTTCGCCATTGAAATTAAAATCCAAGTGCCATACATACTTCGGCTATATCCCGTCTATATCAATTTATATATATATGCCCAGTTATTCAATCTGCTCTAAATATTTAGTTGCTGTCACAGCTCAACCTCATTTAACCAGCTTGTGGCTACAGGGTATATAGTTGAAAAAAGGCAAAACTGTAGCGCAAGCAAATCGCCTTGTCATGCCTCGATATGAACTATTAAATTCCTTGAGCTGCTCGACACGCGCATAAAATCCACAAAACCACATACTACACAACCGCCCCCGACCCCGCCCTCCATGCATGTATACAGACGAGCGTGTACTTGGCAGAAAGACAAGCAGCAAAATGCGAAAATTTATGCAACAGCTGGGCATAAAGTATTTCACGAGGGCCAATCCAAAACTAACTAAACGCGCGCATAGTTTACAATCAGGCCACATACCAATACAAGCGCACGCGGCACGCGCTTGTATTGGTGAGCTTTCGCAGGCTGCGCTGCGCGCTGCAGCGTCGAGCAGCTGTCTGCTGCGTGCGTGTGGCGCGTGTGTGTGAAAGCTTTGGAACGCAGCTCGCATTGGCAGTGCTTTATTGTTATGATACTTCCGACAAATGGCTAATTAAAGATCAGGTTAAAATGCACTTACAATAAATAAGAGCTAAATTTAAATGCAGATGCGATTTGGCAAGTCTTGGAACAACCCGATAGCAGTTGAAAACCAAACTGACAAAAACATAAAATGTCTGCTAAGAAGGGTTCACAAATAAAACACGCACAAAACAAAAGAGCAAAACCAAAGCCGCAGAAGAAAAAATAGAATCAAAATGGGGAATACCAGAGAATAATTTGATTTGTTTGCGACCACATAAATCAGATTGGCCACGCACATTAGCGGCCCCTCGTGTGTCACATGCTAAGCAAAGCCTAAAAACATCGCACCGCCCCCCTCCCAACACTCCCCACTTCCCAAGGGGCCTGTCGAAATAACCGCAGACAGGTGAATGAATGGAGGAAATCGCTAACGCCCAAGTGGAGCCGAGCCAGCTGCAGTTTTGGACACATGCTCGCAAGGTTGGGCTATGCGGAATTTACATAATTATAAAGGGGTGTGTAGCAGGGGCAGGGGTGTGTGTGGGCGGGGTGGGGCACAGTTAAGGTTGTGTATGTGTGTGTGGCCCCCACATATGCCCCATAAACATGCAATTTAATAAATGCTCGCTGGATTTTTTCTGGTGCGCAAATCACATAAACAATCAGAACATTTTGCAACGACTCACAAAAAAAAAAGCAGACAAAAATCTGAATATATTTCGCAAGCATTTCGCACACACACACACACACACACAGACACAAACACACGCACACACGTGTGTGTTTGCATCAAATGTAAACAAATAATATTTGTTGTGCTCTCTAAAATTTCACTTACCGATTCCGATTCCGCGCACAGCTCCACACAGAACACACACACACACACACACACACACACGCACACACACACGTCCAACTACCGTTACATGCCACAGATTCTGAAAACATAATCCCCAAACAGAGCACACATTTCGCTTCCTCTCGTCTTATAAATAAACAAAACTTGTGCTAAAGAAATAGTAAACAGTTTTGTTGTATTTTCGTCGATTTTCGTTGTTTGTTTTTTGTTTTCTTTTAGCTTTTTGTTTTAAATATTTTCGCTTGTGGTTTCTCGTTGTATTTTGTTGGTTCCGTTAGCCGTTGCGTCGTGTGCTGCGGACCTGTCGCTGCGCTGAAGAACTGCTGTTTTATGCGCCAGCATCGCGAATTGTGGGGATGAAAGCGAACGGCGAGCATAAAAAGAAAGCTCTGCCGCGCGCAGCGTTGCCGGATGTCAGCAAAGCAAATTGCCCGTAACGGCACATTCAGAGTTGCTTCGGCCAGCTGTGCCTAGCAGCTGTTGTGCCCAGCACGTCTGCTCTGCGCGTGTGCGAAAGCTGAGCACCTGGCAAAGCTTTGGCCTGTGCAGTGCCGCGGACGCACTGTAGATGGCGCCAGGTACTCTTGGCCGTTTTCAACTCTAGTCGACGTGATACATAAAAGCCAAAATTCGTTTCTTTCGCCGTTCTTTTCACATTAAAAACGATAATCTGCCAAAATTGCAAACAAAGCAGCTTAAAGATTGCCTTTTTTGTTATAGCTGCGCTGCATAACAGCTGAGGAGGGTAACATCATTCGATGCTGGCGGCATTTGAGAACTTTGGCAGATTATCTCGGAAACTTTGCAACTGTTGCTGTGTTTCTGAGCGAAGGCTCAGGTAAGTTGGGTGGGTTAAGGGGGTTGGATCACCTTAAAGCTGCCTTTCGTTATTTGGTGGAGTTTTCTCATGGTACACTCCACAAATATATATTGCACTTGTTTTAAATTCAGTAAATATTTTCTATGCATTTAAATATTGAAGTAATTACATTGTAAGGCAATAACATTTTCTGAAATCCATAAATGCAGCCATAAATTGTTTTGTTTCAAAAAATGTATTATGTTTTATTTGAATTTGTATTTATTTTTATAATTTATGATCTCTCATGTTTCTGACTCTGTTTGGTTTTTCTTGGATTTTCTTTTAGCAACATCATACCTTATGGTGAGTTCAATTGATATGATGCAGATTTTTGGCACACTAAAAGTTAACTCGCAATTCATAGGCAAGTTTTATTTTCCGTTTATCTTTTATGTTTTTTGATTTTGCTTTTCAATTTTGTTTCTTTCGTTTCTTTATTTGCGTTTCTTTAACATGTGCTAATTTCATTTCTTTTATTATGTACTTCATATATTTCTTTAACTATATAATAATATGCATTCATTTGTTCTTAGTATCTGTCAACGTTTGCGAAATTAGCAATAACGACAGAGATATATATATATATATATATAGAGAGAGATAGAGTTGGGAGTGAAAGAGAGGCAAAACAAAAAAAAAATTGGGAAATTTAAGACTAGACTCTTGTGGTGTACTCTTAACGGGCTACCTTAAGCTAGTGTACAAAAATATCGATAACTTAAAAGCGATTAATTTTAAAACAACAACAACGACATCAACTTGTAGTACTTAATTTACTACCATATTAATAATAATTACAGAGTGGTGGATGGGCTGGGATCGGAGGGTGCTGGGGGAGGGGTCTAAAATTAATTAAAGTATTCATGTTCATAGGTAATTGACTCACAAAGTTTCATACAAGATGTGTGTGTGTGTGTGTGTGTGTGTGTGTGTGTGTGCTCCTTCGACTCGATGAGAATTTCGACTAGTGATGAGCGCGTGTCACGCCAATAATGAAATAAGTGCTCGCGTTTGTGCGTTTTAAAATTTGATTCATAAACTCTGATATTTTCTCAACTGATCTGAGCAGTTTCTTAAGCAGAGTAAAGAGAAGGCATACTTTTCGCACTTTTATGTATAATTTTAAATAAATATACATTGGCATAATAAAATGTCATTTGAAGAAAAATGTGTTTAATTGGTTGTATACAAAATATTGCTAATGTGAATAAAGTGAATGAACCTTTTGCACATTCGTAAAGTCGCGACACTTTCAATACAATTCTAATCGCATGTGTCATGCGCATCTTCCGGTTCCGGTATCGGCAGGAGTCGCCAATCCGATACGCGCTCATCTCTAGTTCCGATCAGAGTGCGATAACTGTCTTCTGTCTTCTTTCATGTGCTCGTGTATGTGTGTGCGTGTTTGTTTGTTTTGCTCTGATGCAAATCATATGATGAAGTTTACACAGTTAATATTTATCATAGTTGCATTTGGTATGTATACATATATATATACATATGCATATGTATATATATATATATATATATGCATATGTATATATATATATCGTAAGATCCATTAGATTTAGTTGCATTAAATTTGCTAGTTTCGTGTTAAATACTTTGTCACGTTCTTATATAAAAGGAAAAACAAAACTCTAAACTGTTGTGGTCCCTGGCGTATGTAAGTAATTCGAAAAAAAAATGTATTTGGTTTTTGTTTCGTCTCAACAATGCTACAACAATGAAAGAACTCGATAGAAGAACAGATAGAAAACAATGGAATACACATGTATTTGCTTATATAACGTATATGTATATATTATAAGTATAATCACTTAACAATCTAGATGATTAAGAGAATTTCGATTAGGTTGTGCTTGACCTGGTGTTTCTTCTTTTTTTGTTTTTGTTGTTTTTTGGTTGTTGTTGGTACTCTTATTAAATTTAGTTGGACTGCTTAGCTGGCTGTGACCCATTTATTGAACCCATTGAAATTGTTCCTTGAATTAATGCGTTATCGTTATCGTTATCGTCATCGTCATCGACTTTGACATCAATATCGATATCGATATCGATAACATGGTGCTTTTTGTACAATGCAACGCCGACTAGTAGTTAGTTAGTTGTTGTATTTAGTACATATTGTTAAGTAGTGGCATATAGATCATATATTGTATGTACGTGTATATATCTATATATACTAAGTATATAGTATCTGAATAGTGTTACGTTTCGTTCTGTCTCGACTCTCATCTCGACTCGTGCGCTAACTACGTTACAAACAATACGATAGTTACGATAGTTTTTGGTATCGATTTTGTATCGATAGCTTCTTTTGGCATTTGCATTAGTGAGGCTCTGATCTGAACGCTTGCTGGCTAGGCGCTACGAAACTCTATAGTGGGCGTGGCTAGGCCTCTGTTAATCGCCACATTTGACTACATGACAACATTTCGGCTGGGGGCGGTGCGAGCGGTCGAGCGTGCAGTTGCCCAACTATCGATAAAACTATAATTCCAATATCGATACACTTATCGATAAGTGAAATTGATGCCGAGCTTGCAAACCATAACGACTTAAACGAAAATCGATTTTCACAATAGTGTTATCGATAGTTTTGCAGCTTTGGCACATAGTTAAGGGCGGTGTTGGGACGGTCTCTAACAGTGTACAATTTGTGTTTGCTTAGCTCAAAGTAGCAACAAGCTGTTGTTTTTTTTTGTTTTTTTTTTTGTTTTGTTTTTGTTCTGATAAAATCTTTCGATTAAAAACAGTTTTCTTTTTTAACACAATTAATTGTTCTCTCCGGAATTTGGGCTTCTTGGAATTTACTGCTTATGTTTTTTCTCTTTTAAGTTAAGGTTTTTTCGTTTAAATAGTTACAACAAAATAGCGCTTAGCTTATAGATGAAACATTAGATTGGAGTTTCCTTTTTGCCTTTTGTTTTTGTGGGAAGATAAGCTTTAGTATCGTTTGTGCATTTGCTAGAGACTAAACTAAGAGACTTTTTTGAAAAGTCTGGTCTTAAGTAGAATTTGGCATTATATAAAAAAGCTGCGGCGAGCCACGTCAACTAATTGGGTAAATTTTGGAATGGGCTAAAATGATCCTTAGACAAAATGAAAAACTAGAAAGCCAATTTTGTGCTTTTCCTAAATTAGGCGAGAGATGATTAGATTGATAGCATTAGTTGGTATTGATTATTGCTGTATTCCATCGGAATCTAGACTAAATTGCTATAGTGTAGATAGTAGATAGTATATAGTAGATAGACTAACGCTTAGACAGTTCTCTAATAACTTCCAACTCAATGTGTATACATTTTATCAATGTGGTATTAAGTATATGCTAAAGGCTCTATGTAAGTACTTGTATGCATGGTGTTTATTATAACATTATATTTATTTATACTATAATATATTAATTGTGTGTGTTTCTCTTTGTTTCTGTCTGGTATTCATAGTTTGGTATCTCTTCTTCTTCTTATTCTTCTTCTTATTCTTGTTGTTGTTGCTGTTGCTTGAACTGATTAGTATTTAAAATGTTTCTTAAATAGGTCTCTATATATGTTATTAAAGCTTTCGGTTTTCATTACACTATTTCATATTATATTTAAGAATATATATATATTTATCTAGTATGTATATATATATATATATATATATATATATATATATATTTGTGTGTGTGTGTATAACTACGTACTTAATAGGATAAGAGGTATATACATTTTTAGTTTCTTTTTGTTCTTCTTTTACGGATTTTTACCGAAGCTTAGCATATCCACCGCATGTCCAGGAACCCTGGCAAATAATATATGGAAGCTAATGACAGGAAAGTGACAAAACCTTAACATACACACAAACACACACACACACACATTAGATGTCAATACTAATACAAATCATATGTGCGCCAATGGCATGGACGCTATATATATATATATATAGATAAATATATATATATATAGGACGGTATTATGTGGATACTCGCAGCTGTCTTTCACTCACACTAACACGCACTCACACACTCAATTTGTACATCAAATGTAAGGCTTATTACATGGAAGGCGTTGCCAGTGTTGAAAACTGACATTTGATTATGACCATAACGATAACGATAATGATAACGATAGCGATAGCGATAACGATAGCTATGAAAGCTGTCTGTATATACGATATGTGCATGTTTAGAATATGTGTGGAAAGGGTTGTGATAATGGAAGCAATACATCGATATATATCGATAGCGATAAAATGAGAAGAGATGCAAAATGAATTGATTCAGGCAAAATCGGTAACTTTGGTTGACTATCGAATGAGAGAGATGCGAGACCTGTAAGGAAGTCAGGCATCGCGCTCGATCTATACCTTTGATTAACTTGTGCAAATGATATCGATAACGATAACATGAGAACTCATGCATGAACATATGCATGTACATATTAATGCATGGAATACGCATGAGGTATGCGGATAATGTTGATTGGCTGAAAGTATTGGGATATGGATAATAGTACCGCTAGCGATAAGGATAACGATAACTTGTGAAAATTATATCGATAACGATAACATGAGAGCTGATATATACATACATATAATTATATATGGAATACGTATGAGGTAAGCGGATAGTCTTGATTGTTATAAAAAGTTTGCCTATGGCTCGGTAATGGTTCCGCTAGCGATAACGATAACTACCGCTTTGAATTATCAATGAATGCGACAGTGACAGCGATAAAAAAGCCGATAACAAGGGCGATAACATTATGCAAATGAAGCATACGACACATAGAGCTGCAAAAGAAATTTCGGCTATAGTCAATCATTTTGTTTGACCACGCCTACGATAACGATAACAATTATTAAATGAGCGATAACGATAACATGAGAATTGAAATATGTGTGCATAGGATATTTATGGGATATGCAAGTCATGTGGGTAAGATAAATTGGGTTTCTGGACAAAACTGTGGAATGCTCTTCGACTTATTTTGTGTGCTGTGTTCTTCCTCTTCTCTGCTTGCCTCTAATACTAGGTTTTATGTGTGTTTTATAGGAATTCCCTAAGTTTCATCTGTCTTTTTTTTTTTTTTTCTTTTTTTGGGTTTTTTTTCTTGTGGTTTTCTTGCTCTGGAGAATTGGTTAAGGGCTAAACATATATATAGAATATATATAGCATACCTCTTTATATGCTGTCTTGTATATCGAAGTGTGTGTGTGAGCGTGTGTGTGTGTGTTGTGTGTTGTTCCTTTTGTAATACTGCTCGTATTGCTTAGCTTATTGTTTGTTCTTGTTATTGCTGTGGGTGGTTGTTGTTCTGGTTGCGTCCTGCTGCGATTATAGTTCTCAGAGCTTGTCTTTATCACGATCGATGCTCATTGCTTTAAAGATGCCACGCCCAATGCCATAGCGCAGGTTGAACTGATCCAGGCTTGATGCACGCGGTCGATTACTGCCGCTGCCGCTGCCGCTCCCGCTGCTGCCGTTGCCACTGGCCGCGTGGCCCAATGTGGCATCGACATCGGCGCAAGCCGCACCGCCAGTGCTGGCCAGACGTTCATCCGGATCCGTTTCGCTGTGCTCCGTTTCGGTGTCGCTGAACTTGCGACGCCTGCGCAGGAATGTGCTGCACTGCCGCAGCTCGCCCAAATTGTCGGAGAGCGAAAGGCCGCGCTTGCGCTCCTGCCGCTCCATTTCGGCCGCCAGCATTTGCACCTCCCAGTCGTTGTGGCCGGCGCTGGTGGCGCCGCTGCTGGTGGCCGCCGTGACCAGCGCCGCGCCGCTCAGCTCATCCTCCGCCTCCTCCTCGTCGTCGTCATCGTCGTCGATGTCGCCGGCAATGTTTAGCTTGCTCGACGACGAACTCGAGCTGGAGCTCTCGCCAATGTCCAAAATGACGCTGTCCGACAGACGCGTCAAATTGCCCGTCACATCGGAGACCATCATGCCGCTGCCGCTGCTGCTGCTGGCCACGCCCATGCCAGAGCCACCGCCGCTGCTGCTGTCGGCAGCGCCTCCTGCCATGCTGCTGCCACTGGCAGTCCCATGCTCAAGCCAGTCGCGATAGCCGGGCAGAGCGCCCGCCCGGCTGCTGTGCCGCCCATTGCCATGCGGCGTATAGAAGCTGGGCTGGCTCTGGGCATGCCGCGTCGTCAATGTGCCCGGCCCGCTGTAGTAGCTGCTCGGGCAGTTGAGCGCATTGGCGGAGGCCGCATGATGCCGGCTGGGTCCAGGCGATATGCTGCGCCGACCGCCCTGGATGGGCGGGGACGAGGTGAACACAGTGTCCAGCGAGTCGCCGCGCTGCCAAACGAAACGCAGAGGCACAGAGATAGGAGAGAGAGAGAGAGAGAGAGAGAGAGAGAGAGAGAGAGAGAGAGAGAGAGAGAGAGAGAGAGAGAGAGAGAGAGAGAGAGAGAGATAGGTCACTATTAACTATCACGTTCCATTTGAGGTTAACATGTACTTTAACATGTGGTTAAAAGATAATACTAATGCAACGTTGCCAGCTGTCAATGTTTGACACATATGGCAGTATTGAGTTTTACAAACTCCAATTTTGCTTGACGGGAGCAAACATTTAATATTAATTGGCAATCTGGCAACGCTGGCAGTGCTGCTTATATATAGAAAGCGCGCAGGTAAGCGAACTAACCATGAAGAGCAGCTCGGCCGAGGAGCCCGAACTGCTATTATCCTGCTCAGCCGGCTCGTCATCATCCACGGAGAGCTGAGGCAGCTTCTCCCGCTTAATGCGACGCGTCGGGGTTGCCATCGTTGATTTCTGTTCGATGGAGCGCAGCTTCAGCTGCAGCTGGGCAATGATCGCGTCCCGGCGTCTCACCTCGCCGGCCATGTTCGAGAATTGCGATTCGAGCTTTGAGTGCATTTCGTTCATGTGCGTCTTGATCACGTGATTGATGCCGCTGACTATCTGATTGAAGTAGTCCTGCGCCTCTGGAAAGCCTTGAATTCAAATTGTATTTTGAGGTTAGTAAGTGCGAACACCCGGGTGGCAACCCTGTGCGTGTCTGTGGTACAGTTGTGTACGGACGACGGCCCGACGGACAAGTGAGAGGCGCCACTATGCGCCCGTGTGGGTAAGTCTGCGTGGGTTTGTGTGTGCGTGTGTGTGTTTGTGTGTGTGTGTGTGTGTGTGTGTGTGTTAGTGACAGAGAGAGACAAAGATAATAATCTGGCTGTAAGTGTCAAAGTGATTTGCAGTTGTGGTTGTAGTTGTTGTTGTTGTTATAGCTGTTGCTGTTGTTGTCGTGTTGTTACCAAACGATTAACAAATTAGGTAATGCATACATACGCAAGTTACAGTTATTTACACACATTCCCATACAAATTACAGCGCTTCCTTGCGTTTCCGTCATGGAAATCAATGAAGATCAACGATAAATTTTTGTTTCTTTCTTGCTTTCTTTTACGTATTTACAAAACAGTTAAAAGCTTCGTGTATGTGTGTGTGTGTGTGTGTGTGTGTGTGTGTGTGTGTGTGTGTGTGTGTGTGTGTGTGTGTGTGTGTGTGTGTGGGTGTGTGTGTGTGCTGGTTGCATGCTGAACGATCGTACGCCGTCTTCGTTGTTTCATTCCATTGCGTTCCAAAGCGTGCGTGCGCGTGCTTCGATAAGTTTCAAGCTCAATATCGATATCAATATCGATAACACAATCGTTGACGATATCAATATCGATGACGAGCTCAAACGTTTACGGGCTGAAAATGCTTTTGTGTCTGTGCAAATTGTGTTCTTAAACCAATACAGTTAGAATTCTTTCTCTTGAGTTGAGACTTAGTTTTATATAGTTCGTTTATACTCGAGACAAATGATAAATATGCATATCAATAATTCTATAAAGCGCTTAAATAGACGATTTGGACTCTAAGGTTGTTGCTTAGCTGAAGGTGTTAATAATACCTGAGCTTAACCTGGCCAATACTTACAAATACTTTATAAAACTAATAGAGGTATAAAGCTTCAAGGTATTCGATAAATTATAAGGTGCTATCAACTCTTAACCTAGCATAAGCATTCGAAACTTTAAGCAAGAATATCTTAAAAATACCAAATAGTAAATGGTAAAAGATGACATGGCATCATGCATAAAGAGAAATGCACAAAGGCTGAATAGAGCCATATATACTTAGATACAGAGATTTATATATATATATATAGAGAGAGAGAGAGACAGAGAGAGATAGAGAGCGAGTGAGAGAGATAGCGAGAGGGAAGCAAAGCGAAGCGTAAGAGTTTTGTATAGTGTGATTTTAGGCGCTGCAAGAGGCATGCAGACTGCGTCGACCTGATTAACATTAGGGGTATTCAGCAATACTAAAAAGTATCGATAACCAAAAAGTATAGATTACAAACTAAAACTTCGCATTGCTTGCACTTATATGTATGCAGCTAAATTATGTAAATATTTTTTAAAGGAAATGAAACGAATTAAAATGCTGCTGGAATACCCCTAGTGTAGCACAATGGATGTATTATCTAATTGCTGAGTGTTAAGGGGCACATTGTGAGCTTGAGGGGGCGAGGGTGAAGCGTGGTTGCTCTGACTTGGACTCCAAATACTCGTATCGTATATATATATATATTTATATTGGGTAAATATGGGAGAGATGTTTGCAAAAGTACGCCCAACGTAATTACCTTCCAATTTCGGGACCTGACCCGCCTGACTTGTGGCATTCATCGTGTTCTGGCGGAGCTGCAAATTCAAATTCAAATCTGTGGATTGTGCATGAAATTCGGTATTTTGTGAGAGTATCTGGTTCGACGCGGAGCACTCGACCACATATGAGGCGGTTGCGGATGCGGATGTCGATGCGGATGCGGACGCGATTGATGCTGAGCCGTTGCCAACGCCAGCGATAACGCCGCCGCCCAGCTGCGTCTCAAATGCGAAACATTCTTGCGGCGAATTCGTTGGCGTTACCAATGCCAACGTCGGCGACCAGACAGACGGATCTGGCAGCATTATGCTTGCTGGCCGTACCGTTGTTGGCGTTGCCATATTATTATCCGTACCGTTACCCGTAACCGTGACCGTACCGAGCGTGAGCGCGTTCGCGTTCGCGTATTGCGAATTGTTTGGGCAGGCGACAGCACCACCGAGGGCAGCGAAGTGCAGCTCCTCTTTGGCACTGGGGGGCGGGCTGGAAAGAGTTGAATGGAAGGTTACACTCTTCAAGAGCTTACTGTGCCTGGCCACGTACCCTTCCAAGGTCGGCTCCATGAGCAGCCCCCTCGATGGTGCACTACTGGCCTTGGCATTCGCCTCGTCTTGGGCATCACCATCGGCTGCGACACCACCACAACCACCAGCTTGATCAGCTGCACCACCCTTCTGCAGCTTTTTCAGTATGCTCTTCAGTTTGCGCCGTTCGACGGTCTCATTCGATTCCGGGCTGAGGGGCATGTACTCCAGCTGGTGCGCATGCGCCTGGGCGTGCGGCTTAGAATTGCTATCCGATGCGGATGTATTGGTCGAAATGGATGTGGAGCTGGTGGTGGACTCGTAGGCGCTCAGAAACTGTGAGTAGATGCCGGAGGTGTCGCTATAGCAGCGATATAATGACTCCGTAATGGGCACTTCGTTGTTATTGCTGCTTGACTTGGAGCAGTCCAGGCTGAAGCTGCGCGTCTGCAGCGCTTTCTCCAGTTCCGCTAGCTTCTGGCGCTCATTCAGTATCTTCAGCCGTTTAACGAACGGCAGTCCACAATATTCCGGCGATAGATCGAAAACACTTTGATAGAGCTTCCGGCCGGTTGCCTCAGCCTCGGGCAGCTTCTGTTCCGGTTTCTGCAGTCGTAGGCATTCGCGTGTGCTGCTCAATGTGCTCCGGGCGCTCGACGAGCACGTGCTCGAGCTGGAGCCATGGCCATGCCCATGACCCTGACCGTGACCCTGACCGTGACCATGTGCGTGACCGTGAGCGTGACGCGGCGAGCGGGAGCTGCGCGCACTGTGATGTCGCGGTCGAGCGTTTACCGTGCCCTCCATGTGCTGCGGTATATTGCTTAACGAATAGTTCTTTAGCGGCGTTGCCAGATCGTCTGGCGAGCAGTTGTTCAGGCTCGTGTAGCTGGCCGACATCAGTGTGGCCAGCTTCAGCTTGGACCAGGGCTTGATGGGCGTGCCATCCGTATCCGTATCCGATTGCAGCGGTGTGACCAGCATCTGGGACGGTTTTATCACTTTCCTCGACATGCCGGCGACTCTCGGCTGGCCACCAGCCACTGCACCGGCCGCCGGCTCCAACGGTGGCAGCCCTGAGCTGGCATGCTTGGCCACCACAGCCAGCGATTTGGGTGGCTCCTTTTTGGCTATGGCGCCGGTGGTGCTGGTGGTGCTGACGGTGATGCTGCCGCTTGCCACGGTCGGCACCGCGCCCTGCAGCTGTTGTATCTTCTGCTTAAATGAGACCTTCATGATGGGCTTGATTTGGGCGACGGTCAGCGTTTGAGCTGTGCCTGAACCACCTGTTGCACCACCTGTCGCACCAGCTGCTGCTGCTCCGAAGTCCACCTTGCTGCTGATGTTGGGCGGCGTGTGTGCCTAGGGGGTTAGTTAAAAGATGGAATTAATATGCTGCTGCCTTGCAAATAGGGTGGATCAAAAATGAATCATTCTATGCTCGAAACTGTGGTGCTTGATATTGAAAGAGTGGTTCGGCTTTACCATGACGACGCCGACGGACTCGCTGATCGCGTTCGTTTGTGGCTCGTTTTTAATTTTCAACTGCTGCAATCTCTGGATCAGGGGAAAGCCTTCGTTAAACTCGCGTTCGGGCTCTTCCTGTATCGATTCCTGCGGCGATAACGTACACGTTACATGTGAGTGAGGTGGAGATTTCTGTGGTGGTGTGGACTTAACAGCTCGCTCTTCGCGATCCTAGTGCAAGACACATAAAGACACATACAAAAACTACTATTTAGGAGCCGGGGTTCATTACATACAACACGAATTTTGCTTTTGGATTAAGCTTTCTTTCTTTTGGGCTTTAAGCTTAATTAAATTAGGTACTAAATCAAAAAGTACAAATCCAATAATCATACATTTTTATAAACTCTTCGCTGAGTATGCAAGATGCGGTGTGGTATGGTGTGATGTGGTGTGGTGTGATGTGGTGTGGTGTGGTATGGTATGGTGTGATGTGGTGTGATGTGGTGTGGTATGGTGTGGTATGGTGTGGTATGGTGTGGTATGGTGTGGTATGGTGTGGTATGGTGTGGTATGGTGTGGTATGGTGTGGTATGGTAAGGTTTAATGTAGTTGAATGTGGAATGTTATAAAGATGGCGAAGTGTGGTGTGAATGAAAAGTGCGGTGTGTTCCCTATGGTGTGGTGTTGAAAGGTGTGTTGTGTTTATGCATTTAAGTTGAGTTGAATATGCTGGAGAGTGGTGTAAGTCAGTACAATCTGATTCAATGTGGTAGGGTATGGACCAAATTTAAATGTCTAGTAAGTAACGCTGTTGTGTTTGTGTTTAAAACTGTGGTGTGTTTCTGTATGATATGGTGTATAAAAGGATGCTGTATATAGGTATAGAGTAGGAAGAGTAGTAAGGATATTTAAGTTGGCTTCAGTTAGTATTGAATTGTGAGGTGTAGTTAACTGTGGTGGGACCTCACATACTGTTCTGGTGAAATTCAGTATGAATAAGTAACTATGATCAGGTGTGGTTTTCTGTTACAGAAGAGTTTAGTATAGATCAGGTCAGATATGATTAAGTGTGGTGTAGTTTGTTCCGTTGTTTTTGTCTATTTCTAAAGCATGTCTTTGTCTTTTGATCAATTTGTTTACTTACAAAAATAAAATTTGAATTGAGCAACTAATTATGGGTAGTCTTACGGCAGCCGTCAAGCAAATTCCAGTTCTCTACTTGGTGTGGCGTAAAGAAAGATATATAAGAGGCTTATAAGCAGGTCCATTAACATGAAATCATAAGAAGCTGCTGCAAAATTAACTTAAATCGCGCGTTAAGGTCCTAAGCCTTCACTTAGCTAATAGCTAAATATGAATATGAATCCAATTAAAGGTATTTCAAGGGAGATAAAGAAATAGGCAGCGAATGATTTTTAACGCGAACTTTGGCATCAACTTAAAAAATAAGGACCATAATTGCATCGAATTCGTTTGAGAATTCATTCGCAAAACGTGCTTCATACAAGATTATCAATTGAATTACGAGTAGCTATTATTACAAAGGTTAAGGTGCACTAGAAGCAATTCAATATAACTATAACTTATTCAACGATACAAAGGAAAAGAACACAACAAAATGAACGAGTAACAATAAAAAGGAGAAGCAGCACTCATCGCGACTCCAAGAACTGAAGAGTGCGTATCGAGCGGGTATGCGTATTTGTGAGTACACGTGTACTCGGTATGCGTATTTATGAGTATTGGAGTTTTTCGGTAAGCGTATTTGTGAGTATACGAGTATTCGAGTGTACATTTGTGAGTATACGAGTATTCTGGTCTGCGCATTTGTGAGCATACGAGTTTTTCGATATGCGTATTTGTGGGGAAAATTCGTATACAGTTTTCCGGTATGCGTATTTGTGAGTACACGTTAATTCGGTATGCGTATTTATGAGTATACGAGCTTGTATACGGTATGCGTATTTGTGTGAGTATACTCCGGTATACGAGTTTTTATGTATGCGTATTTGTAGGTATACGAGTATTTGGGTATGCGTCTTGTCTAGTCTAGTATTTGTTTAGCTTAGTATTGGTATTTGTATGAATATCTGTTGCTTGTCTTTGGGATTAACACCATCAAAAGCTCGTGAGGTTACACAATGAGGTGAATTATGCGAATTATACGAAATTTGCGATTATGTGTTAGTTCCAATTGGAATGGTGAGTTGATCAAAAAGTTTGTGATAGAAACAGAACTGGGCGGTGGCTGTGTTGGTGGTGGCGGCGGCGGTGGTGGTGGCTGTGTTTAATGATAATGGCACTGGCTATGACAGCTATCGGGCTTGGACTTACCTGCTTCTCCTTGAGCAGGCGCAGGCGCTGCAGCAGCGGCAGGCCGGCCCCAATGGGGCTGGGCGTTTTGTCATGCAGCTCATCCTTCGCCTCGGCGCTATCCGCATCCTTGTCGTCGGAGCGCACGCGTGACATGCGTTTCAACATAATCTTGCTGCCACGCGGCGAGGTATTGTGCAGCGGTTGCATTTCCAGTGATTCATCGCTCTTGCGTGAGGTTCTGAGCGTGGAGTGCTTGGTATTCAAAAATATTCCACAAACATTTATTGCCTGCGCCGGAACTTACCTGGACTTTTTGAGCACATTGCGAAAGCCCTTCACATCGTGCTTCAGCTTGTCCACTATTTTCTTGGAGGCACTGTTCTCGCTGCTGTCGCTCTGATGCACCTGATGATGGTGCGGGTGAGCATGTGGATGATGCGGATGGGCGGCGGCATAGGCTGCAGCCTCCTTGTCACTTTGCGCCTTGGCATATTTCTTGTTCACGCAGCGCACCTCCATGAGGCGTTTGCGTCCGAGAGTCTGCAGGATTTCCTGTGCGTCCGGATAGTCTTTCATGGCGGCCAGCACGTCCTCGCGTGACAGCGAGAACAGCTCCGAGTAGCCCACGGAGCGCACATCTGCGGTGCGTCTAGAGAACAGCAAACCGAGCACGTCAGAAAATGGTGAACTAGGAGGAGGAGGAGGAGAAGGAGGGGAACTCCTAAGGATAACTCACTTGTTCAGGCCATCCAGATTGAGTATACCTATCTCGCCGAAAAAATCACCCGCCTTCATGGTGGTCAGCACCTTGCCCGTCTCGCTGAGCACCTCCAGAATGCCATCGGCTATGATGAACATTTCACGGGCCACCTCGCCCTTGCGACAGATGGAATCGCCCGGCGTGAAGATATATGCCTTCATTTTCAGCACCAGATCGTGCAGAAACTCCGGCTGGCACTCTTGGAATATGGTCACCTTCTTCAATACGCTTAGGTTAACATGTAAGGCCAATTCGGTTTTCAATTTATCGGGCAACAGGCCCAACGCAGTGTTAATATCCCCGCCGCCCTGTATTCGACCCCGCGACCAGCTATAGTCATACCAGCGCAGCACCCGCCGCTTCATTCCGCCGGGCACCTGTGGGTTGCCGTCGTAGGACGTGTTAGTTGGGGCTATTGATGGAGCAGCGAGCACTTACCTTGTGATGCCTCATGTAGGTCTTGGCCCCGTCGAGTAGACGCTCGAATTCCAAGCGATTGGCATTTCGATTTGTTATCACATTTCCCACTTGGCCCACAATAGTCGCAAAGATAAAAACCCCAATCAAATAGCTAACGATCGTAAAAATATATCTGCGGGTAGCGGAAAACAAAGATCGGGGATTACCATACGCAACAATTAGCTAATGGGAGAGCTCTTATGCATGCGAGAGTCCAGACAGCCTAGTTGATTACGATTTGTGAGAGCAGCTTTCATTTCGCGTATCTTTCTTAATATTTCTATAATTATTATATTTTTAATTTATCCAAAAAAATATACACAAATAAAATGAAAAATTCCTTTTTAAGGAAAACCTAGAAAAGTGGAGCCTATTGCTAAGAGGTCTGCGTGTTTTCTCAATTATTCTTGCTTGGCGCGTGGAACAAGGAGAAATTACCCGGCATCGCGCGGCTCTAACGAAAAATTGTAAGCAATTACATCAAAAAGAGTATTATCCAATGGCAACTAATAAGCCCATATACTCGATTTTGTTCAGGAAAACACTGCGATTAAAAGTATTTTTCAAATGTTGCCATGTCCTTCTGGTTGCATTTTCATCCTCCTTCTCTCTCTCTCTCTCACTCTCTCTCTCGTACTCTCTCTCACTAACACTCTCTCTCTCTCTCTCTATATTGCTCTCTCTCTCTCTCTCACTCTCTCTCTCTCTCTCTCTCTCTCTCCCTAATTGTCTCTCTCTAACTCTCACTAACTCTCTCTCTCTCACACTCCATCCCTTTCTCTCTCTTTCTCCCTCTCTCTCTAACTCTCATTCACTCTATAATTCTCTCTCTCCCTCTCTCTAACTCTCTCTAACTCTCTCTTACTCTCTCTTTAACTCTCTCTCTCTAACTCTCTCTCTAACTCTCTCTCTAACTCTCTCTCTCTCTCTCCCTCTCTCTCTCTCTCACGAACTCTCTCTTCCTTTTTCCTTCTCTCCCTCAGTAACTCTTACTCTCACCCTCCCTCTTTCTCACTCTCTCCTGCTCTCTCACTCTTACTCTCTCTCACTAACACTCTCTCTCTCTCTCTCTATATTGCTCTTTCTCTCTCACTCTCTCTCTCTCTCTCTCACTCTCTAATTGTCTCTCTCTAACTCTCACTAACTCTCTCTCTCACACTCAATCCCTTTCTCTGTCTTTCTCCCTCTCTCTCTAACCCTCATTCACTCTCTCCCTCTCTCTAGCTCTCTCTAACTCTCTCTTACTCTCTCTCTAACTCTCTCTCTAACTCTCTTTCTAACTCTCTCTCTCTCTCTCCCTCTCTCTCTCTCTCTCACGAACTCTCTCTCCCTTTTTCTTTCTCTCCCTCAGTAACTCTTACTCTCACCCTCCCTCTTTCTCACTCTCTCCTGCTCTCTCTCTCTCTCTCTCTCTCTCTCTCGTTCTCTGTCAAGACTCTGCTCGCTTGCAAAAGCACAATCAAAGTTTTCGAAAGCACATTTTCAATTGTTTCTTTTTTGTTAAGTGAATGTTTAGAATCAAGTTTAGAAACAGGCTTTGGAAATTGTGAGCGTTAAAATATCATTGGAATTGTTGAAGGCTGTCGCACGCTTTCGAAAACTTTGATAATAAATCGATATCATGTTATTTTCTTAAAGTCCTTTAGCCAAGGCTTTGATCATGATGATATGCAACATTTGTCATCCCCAAAAGAGAATTGTTGTTTTTTTTTTTTGTTGTTAATACACAAAACGAAACGAACTGGTGGACAGCCCCCAACAAATAGCATATGATATTTGAAGCACACTATGTTTAGATACGTTTGCGATGATGTTGTTAGGATCATACCCATAGCTAGAGCCAAACTGTAGCAGTCGTGATTTGATGCCACGCCTTGGTATTGATCGGGGGCCGTCCACCGAAAAGTTCGGTCTGTTTTTATTGTTTGTTTGTGGTATGCAATGAAAACGAAGAAACGAAGACAACCCGCCCCAGAGATGTCAAGGATTTAGCTGATCCTTAAAGGCTGCCAGGCAACGTCTCATACTCACTCTGCATTCGTCTCTGGCGTCGGCAGATCCCCAATTGTGGTCAGCGTCAGGGTGGACCAATAAAGGCTGCCCAGATATTTGCGCGTCAGCGTCGCATAGTCACCCGGTCTATAGGGATAGACCCAATCACCCTAATATATATATATATATAAATAAATATACTTATATATAGAAGAGGCTTATGTGGGGCTTGGTTTGGAACTTACCTGAAAGCCCTCCGCTTCGGAGAGCAAAAAATAGAAACAACCGAACCAATGGGCCAATATTAACAGGATATGAATTAGGTTAACAACGCGCCATAAATTTGGCCAAACTGTTCTACTCTCTACGATGTAATAAAATCTCACAGATCGATATACCTGAAACATGATTAAAGTGAATTAAATAGGCTCTTCTTCGTCGCATACTCACTCACTCGCTACTCACTTTAAAAAAGCGCGTAAAACGCAAAAGCGGATGTGTGCCCATCTTCAACTGGAGCAGATCCAATGGTATCAGCGCTATCATATCAAAGATGAACTCACGCGAGTGCACATAGTGACAGGCCAGCTTCCTGTCATCGTATACCTAGAACATAAATGTACCGGGGATTAATGCCCTCGCCAGTTGTACCTATATATTGTATGATCCGCTATGTGTACTCACCATTAGGCCCTGCTCCAGATAGCCTGTGCGTAATTGAACTATTATATCTAAGATAAATACAACATCTGTCATTGAATCGCAGATGAGCCAAAAGGTAGGCACAGATTGCTGTCAGCCAAATTGCAAAAGTTCACAAAAAAACAAAAAAAACAAAACCAAATCAAAAAATAGAAACAAAGAATAATAATTTCGAAAAATTAGTTGAGATTGTCAATTAGTGCTCACGGCTGTGCATAAAACAAAGCTCGGGTCAAGGACAATTATTTTAGCAATGCATTTCACAATTGCAAATGAGTCCGAGGTGGGGCAGGGGCCACCTTCGCAAATGGCAAGCTGACAAAAAAAAGTGAGGCCTCTCGAGTAAAACAACAACAGGCACAACAAAAACGAGCCGTGCCACACATTACGCTCTAAAGGTCAACGACGACGAGTGTATCACATGCCATGCCCCCTTTGCCCTGCCTCTCAAACAAACAAAAAAAATGAAATAAAAAAAGGCCCGCCAAATGTTATCCACATTGGCTTTATTTTTTGGCAACCCTTGGCAGACTTTAATCTGATGACAAACACCAGCTAACTGGGCCGTGAACAAACATTTGCCCAGCTCCAAGAACAAAGCGTTCCCACTAACTAACCAGAGAATAAACCCTCGACCCATCGAATCCTCGACCCAGCGACCACTTGGCTCATGAGTTGCCTGCGTGTCTTTTAATTGAGTCATTACGAAGCGCTGGTCACAAAAAAAAATATATATATATATAAAGAAACAAATAAAAACCGATTCCTGATAACAAGTCGCCGCAATTCAGACTAGAGTATACCCTGTTTATGTAGCGGCAAAATTTGCAAAAAGCTTCGTAATATTCCATGCCAAATATTAGTCCTAGACCATCTTGAACGAGGCTCATCAATGGATCTCCCAGCTGTGCCCGGGCCGCGTTTTCTCAAATGAAGCCGATCAGAACGAAGGAAAAATTTGTTTTTCCGCGTTTCTTCCACACTTACGGGTGGAATTATCGTACGATAGATTTCTGAATGGGTTTCACCTTGAAAGCCTGTCAATAACTTAATTTCGCCAGATCTGGTTCCGGTCCTTAACTTATTCCTTCCTCTTATCTTACGCTAAGACTATTTCGTTTCGTTTGTACTTGGACATAGCATAAGCACCAGCTTGTAGGCGTGCAATATATATTAACTTGTAGGATATCAGCAAGCCGGAACACAAGTCCAGCCCAAGGCTTAGCTAAATAAATTATCAGAGCCCGGCAAAGGTTTTAAGGCTAATCAGAGACCACCTTTTCTTACGTTTAACAGTATTACCTTGCCTTCAGCTAGTTAAGTTATTAAACCCACTTTTAAAAGGAGCCAAGGACTCGTCGGAGTTGCCTTTTATCCTCTTTTGCTGAAATACCTAATAAACTTCATTGTTTGAGGAAATTTTATGGCCGTTGGGCATTATTATTAGGCAGCAAGTCAACTCATCTTACAAAACTTGAAGCATTATGACAAAAGGTGTTTTCTTTCCTAAAGCAGGGACAGGAACAGGGACAGAGACAGGGCGAGGCCGGGTGGCGGGGGGCAGGAGCAGGTCAAAGAAGTCGGGGCATTGGGGCATTGGGAAAAATAAAGAAAAGTCGACACACAAAGGATATTTGACATTAATGGGCTGGCGAGTCAGTTTTTGTAACTTACCTGCAGTTCAGGAAAGCTCTGCCTCACAATTAGGGTCCATAGATTATAGAGAACACATATAGTTAACATCATTAACCAATAGAAGTAAAAATTTTCATCTGGATTAACAACGGAGCGTCGTTTCTGCAGATAGCGTCGTCTACGCTTAACCGTTTTGTCGACGTCACCAGAGGCACTTTCTGAACCCGTGTCTTCAACAGTTTCCTGAAATGGCAACGAAATGACAATTATGAAATGAGCTAAGCCAACGTTTTACTATGAACGTTGTATTTCACCCGCAAAGGTGGATTTCACAAAGTCAATTTGAAGGGAAAAATGTGAAATTTCGATCATTTTCAACCCGGAGGAGTGGATTTGCGCGCATTGTGTGAAATACGGCTCAAATACATCAAAAGAAAGTTTGAAGCCAATCGCATGTGAAAAAAAAGAAAAAAAATGGAAACTATACGATTCCACCCATTTTTAGGCTATTGAGTGAAATTGCAAGGAACCATTTTGCAGATGTGAAAATATGCTCACCTGTGTTTCGGGTATCTGTCTAGTTGAGAAACGCTTCAGGAATGAGTCTTCGCGCTTGAGCGGTGGTTTCTTCTGTATGGCCGATGAGATTTGTACGGTGGTGCGCAGTTTCATCCAGCGTTGGTTCGAGCGTGTCCTGTACGAGGATATGCCACAAAAGACACACGTTCAAAGATCACAAGTCTTCGATAAATCGAACAACTCTGCGTAAACTAAACTACAACTAAATGCTACAGCTGGGTTAAAACTCAAAATATCAAGCAACTACAGGATCGGGGAAAGTTATCGGTTAGATCGATAGAGGTATAGAAAGAAAGAAAAAGAGAAAAAGAGAAAGATAGATAGAGTAGAGAGTAAAATGCAACAGAGCTGAGAGCTAAATGCAAAAGCGTGCGTTATACGTTTGAGGTTAGGTTTGGTTTAATTTTGGTTTTTTTTTTTTTTCTTTTTTGCTAGGCACTACAACTAGGGTGCTCTACTTGCAATAAGATCATAACTTACGCAACACACGGAAACACTTACGCAATGCGTGGTAGGAGCAATAAACATTCATTAAACGGTAAACCCAAAAACCGTAACGTTAACGCACTTAAACATGGCACGCAACGATATGGCAACGCTAACGTCTAACGGGCAACGGGTAACGGGCAACGGGTAACGGGCAACGGTTAACGCTTAACGGTTACAGACACACACATAGAAAAGCACGCACTAAAACAGATGTAGATGTGGTCAGGTGCTGGTGTTATGTTGGGGGCGGGGTTGCAGGAGGCATCCTGAACGGAGACAACTGACAGCTGACTGGGCAACGTTTGACGTGGCTGTAGTTGGAGTTGGAGTTGGAGTTGGACCTGGAGCTGGAGTTGGGGCAATGGGATGTGGGTGTGGCACCAACAGCCAGCTGCGTGTCTCCGTCTCCGGCTTCCTCGACGTCTGCCATCTACGTTTTAACGGCTCTAACGGCAATCAGGCATGCAAAAACGGCAAAGTATTTAATTTAACTTCATCTTCTTGCTTCACTTTAGTATTTTACGATTTAAGCGTAGTTTGTTTAAGTATAGACACACAGAATGATAGATCTCATGAAGGTTGAAAGCATTAACATTAAGCATAACATGCAGCGCGAAACAATTCGAGCAATTCAGGGAAAATTCAGAGAAATTAAAAGCACGAGGCTGTTAAATTAAACAGTTGAGAAAAGAAATGAAAGTGGAAACAAATAGAATATTAAAAGCCAGTCGGGGTAACGCCGTAGTTTTCGTTTAAGTTTCATTTTCATGACTCGGCCAGAGAGAACAATTTCCTTAAAATCTGGAATATTTTTGGCTGTGAAAAATGAGGCCAATGTCTGGAAAGGCAGACAGAAAATTTGTCCAGAACATGCTAAAAGCTCTGTACAACAACAAAAAACGAACAAAAGTGCAAAAACAATGAAAAATACTGAAAAGAAATCAATGCATGAACAGAGTGCAACAGTCGAGCAAGCACGACTAGCAGATACGCTGTACCAGGTTTCTTAAGAGATCAAATATTTATGGGCTTAATATTCGACATATTCGACAAGAGTTTGGCTTGATTTTGTAAATTATTAATTATTTGAGCTGTGCTGGAAAGTAAAAAGTGCCTTATGCCAAATTTGCTGGCTTGAACAGTGATAAATTGAGCTTAGAAAGAGCATTAAAAATTCATTAAATTTAAGTCTATCTCTCAAATTCTCCTGGAAAGTCGAATAAAATATATTTTGATTTTCGTTGGGTTTTCAAGTAATATTGATTAAGTATTTAAATAAATAAGTGCAGTTTTAAATATAAAACCATGAAAATGAATCTATTATTTAACTGGTACAGGGTATTTGGAGTGCGACTACAACAAGTGGCTACAAGTGCTAGTGGCATATGCTGGGAATGCGGAACTGGCATTTGGGAAATTTTTGGGGAACTGGACATTGGATAAGCATCTTAAGAATTTCTGGTTTCATGTACTTGTTGTTCTTGCTGGGGAGGTATTTTTTTGGTATTTTTGGTATTTATTTTTTTGTTTTGCTCAAATCGCTAGTCGGCCAACAAAAGTCTACGTAGAAACTGCCTTGCTACGAGAATGAATTAACTGCATTATATACATACGATATGTGTTAAAATGGTATTTAAATATACAAGTATTCCGATATAAGTATAGTATTTTATTTAGTATGTTTTTAACGCATTTGCCTTATACATAATTAGCTTGTGGCACACACATACAAAGCGAATTTTATAGCATTTGCACACACACACACAAATTTAGTTTATACTTATATAATTTTTTTTTTCAGTATGTTTTTTTTTACTTTATACAATTCGAATGCCAAACTACATTTTTAATTGTTTTTAATATAGTTAAATTGT